GTTAAAAAAAGTTACAAAACAAAATTTACAAGAGAAAAGGCTTTATACTTGCCTGTCCCAATGCCCATTGCTTTGACCTTTTCTCTGTTTAAGACCTATGGCCACCTGAAGAATCTCCACATTTGACACTTCCAGGAGTGTCAGAAACCTGCATACCCTGCTGCACACCATGTTTTTTTCTGCTGACCCCTACATTCACTTCTGTTTCCTTTAGTGATGCAGGGGATGGAAGAAACAACACCTAGAAATGTGTTCAATATAAAAAGGCTGATAGAATATCAGAGGAACAGGCAGCGGGACAGGTGAGTATAAACCCTTTTCTCTTGCAGTTGCTGTTCTGAAACATATTTTTAAGCCTGGGATGCAGTCGCTTTAAAGCTGACCATTGACATTAGATCTGTGTTTCCTAACTGATATCTTCAAGTACCCTTACCAAGTCAGGTTTTCAGGTTTCCCTTTCTTATCCATAGGTATCCTAATTAATTAAAGTGACATTAAAGGCAAAAAAAAATTTCCCTCCCCCCAATGTAAATGTTAGCACTTACCTTAAATGATGTCTCTTTTTCCGATCTTCCTCTTCTTTCCCCATGTTTTCATCTGTCCCTCCAGCGGTGTGACGTCACTCCGATCCAGCGCTGACTGCTCTGTCTCTCCGATCCAGCGGTGTCTGCAGGCGGGTGCACGCGTCCATAGACTTACCTTGCGTCTCTGCTCGTCTCCCGGCCGAGAATCGGAACTGCGCATGCGCCCGCCCCAAGATCCTTTGCGGCCGTACGAGCAGTTCCTTATTCTCGGCGCGGGAACGAGCGGCGATAACGAGGTAAGTTTAAAAGGATTTTAAGCGTTTTTTTTTTTTTTTTACACTTCTTGCCTATAACTACTGCATGCTAGCAGTAGATATAGGCAAAAAAACCGGAGGGTTTAGATCCCCTTTAATTTTGATTACAACAGATTCTATTAATTACCATACAATTCTATTAAAAACAATATAACCTTGCTGAAGTACATGATTTGGCGGAGTCTTGTCATGATGGTCAATGTGAGTTGCACCCACAACCGAATATCTTATTCCAACTCCGCTTTGTTTTTCCTCCTTTTCACTAATGCCAGCCAGACACTCTTTTTATGTTTGTTATGTACTTAATTTAAGGCGGTTGAGATGTTGTTTTTCCTCCCCATTTTGATTGGCTATGCTGAGGTAGAGGTTTTTGAATTAACTGTGGTTTTGTATTGTCTTATTTTTACACCAATATCAGATGCTATGAATCATTGCAGGCCATATCTTTGGATTTATGGTCTTACCCCTATATCTGAGTGTGAACTCTGACTGTGGTACTGTGTAGGTGTTTTTCTTTTGGAAATTAATTTCTTCATTATAACTTTGGTTACATTTGATAATTCCTGTGTTCTTTTGTCTGCTTCACAGCTATGAGGCCGTGGTCAGTGATTGTTCAGTGGTCAGTGACTGTTTCTGACCATGCAAGTCATTGACTTTTACAGCTGTTAAGGGTGAACTTTTTGTTCCACTTGACATGTTCTCAATGAACTGTTTTTATTGTATCATATGACACTACTTGAATCTGGAGGTTAACCCCTTCGTGACGGGAGACGTACACTGTACGTCCAGCCACAAAGGGACCAAATGACTTGTCACGTACACTGTACGTGACGAGTTATTTGCTGCTTTAGAGGGCTGTTAATCGCTGAGAATCAGCTTTTAACATTCATTAATGGCTGCCCTTACTACAGAATTTATGTTATTCTTTTTCAAACTTAAGAATTGTTTTTTTCCCAGTATACTATCCCCAATAACCACTGCTGCTTTCCTTCCCAGGCTGATTTCCCACCATTGTCTACTAACAGTACACATTGATTGGAGCCCATTACTACCTTACACGTTTTGGAAGTTTAAGCCTTTTTGCTTTTTCTTTGTTTCCACAAGACCAGGTCCTGTCCCTTCAATGGTCTACCTTTTTTTAACATTTATGACAATTTGTCGAATACTTTAACAGCCTGGGAAGCCTTTGAGGGATAATCCAGAGGGGTTTTACTCTTTGCAGTTTCACACATCAAAAGACATTCCTGTAACACTCTGCTTAGATTAGCATCTCCTGAAAGTCAAGCCAAATATGCTTATTTAACCAATACTATTGACACTAATAAGTGGGTATGGCAAGAGGCATTTAGACAGCATGAATCTTTCTATGCAGAACACACTCCCAGTAGATCTTTCTTCTCTGAGCAGTCACTATTTAACCTGGGGGACAGATGCTGGTGTTTATTTACGTGACACCCTTACTCCGTCCCTAACACCTGAACAGTGGAACATTTTGGATACTCACATTACGGTTGATGAGATTAAGACAGCAATTTGATAAGGTCAGAACAAAAGATCCCTAGTCTGGACAGATTTCCTCTTGAATTATATATGAAATATATGGACTTCTTGGCCCTTAAACTATTGCAATTATATTATGCGTCTTATTCCTTGGGCAAATTGCCACAGTCTACATGTGAGGCACTGATTATTCTTATCCCCAAACCTGGCAAGGACCTACAACTTCTTGAAACATATAGGTCAACATTGCTTCTTACAGCAAATGTTAAAATATTGGCAAAGGTCCTTGCCACATGTTTGTGTTAAGTGATTACTTCTATCATACACCAGGATCAGACAGGTTTTATGCCTAGTATGACTACAGTTTGTACCTTCATAGGATCTCTGACAACTTGTAGTACTCTCATGTTAATCGGGGACAAAGAGTTATTGTTTGCCTGGATGCTAATAAAGCATTCAGTATGATTGACTGGTCATACTTCAAGGCCTCTCTGCACAAATTTGGCTGCCCGCCAAGTATTTATAAATTGGATCACATTATTAGATTCTGCACCTAGTGGCAGCTAATGTTTAGGCTTTGGAGTATTTTCCTCTGTGCCTTATCACCCTTACTGTTGGCAGTAGTAACTGAGCCCTTGGCTATCAGACTTTGTAGAAAACCCGCCATGCTTGGTCTCTCCATTGTGGAGGAATAAATTAGTTTCTATGCAGGTGAAATGGTTTTGTATTTGACTGATGCCAGTGGTTCATTGTAGGCTTTGCTTGATTTATCCACTCCAATATTAATCCATTCTACACTCTCCTGAAATACATATTTGCTGCTTGGACTATACTTCCACTCACTATGTATAAACGTATTTAAAGTTATCCTTTTCCCAAAAAGTATTTTACATCCTTTTGTAATCCCCAGTTTATTTACCCTTTTCCATCTTCCAAAAATGGAATGCTCAACTACGGGAGTTGTTTGGAATCATAAACCTTCAAAGCTTCCTTTTAAGTACTAATTAACCTCTCCACCTTAGGTGGCCTGGCTTTCCCATGGCTCCATTAGTATTATGATTCAGCACAACTATCACAGGTAGCACACAGGCTCAGTAAGGGTAGTGTAAATAAAGCACAGCTTTTGGGTTTTACTTCCCTCATGGTTCAATCCTGCTTAAGGGGAAATATGACAAGACCCCATTTCCCTCATATACTTTTAAACAAACCACTCGTGTCTGGAAATGGACCAAAATCAGTCCACTCAAATTATATATCATGCACCTCTCTGGGAAAACAGAGTTTTACCCAAATTAAGGAAAACCCCCGATTCTGTGTGTGGGAATCTCGAGGCATCTGGTTTTTTGGTTATGCTGTGTACGTGGGTGCCCTGAGGTAATTTCCTCAACTTTTTTCTCGATATAGTTTTTAAAACTCCAGCATGCATTCCAGACCAAGACCTGATTTCAAAGAATACAATCTAGTACATGTAATACAGGAAGGGCATGAAAAGGTTATGATAGGTGATCATTGTATAGAAGGTTGGTAGTAACAACTAACTTCAACAAAAAGAAATCCTATGAAACATGCTGGAGTGATTTGCCAGACTTCGGCGAGGAGAACTGGGAAGACTGCTTAGAGACCCCAGGCAAAGTGTCCTTGTGTGTGAAGGAGCACTAAATTCAAGCTGGTATCATTCATCAAGTGTACCTTTCTGCACATAGAATGGCTAGATTTACTTAAGACATTCTCTGTTAACTGTCCGAAGTGTCATTTGCTGCAAGTTTTTTTTTTTGTTTCACTAGATTTGGGCCTGCCCTGCTATAAACACATTCTGTGGATACTTACATTTGTAAATGATTTGATGGTGTGCCCGATTCCACTTACAAGAGGTATATGTGTTAGGCATTTCGCAGGATCTGCCGATGCCTGCAGCAAAGGCTCATGTTTCTTCGTGAACTGCTATTTCAAGCCCATGAAGTTCAAGCCCATAGTTCTACATTGGATGTCAAGTACTTGCACCTGTGTATCCCAGTGGATGAAATTTCTAAGTGACATCTTAGCCTTATAAAATTGGTTGATGCACTCAGCAGCTGTCCTGTCTGATACAACAAGATATGGAATCCCTGGCTGTCTAAAATGTTTTGATGCTCAAGCTGCTTCACTTTTTCACAGTCCCTCCTCTCTGGGACCACATATGAAAAGTGAATGGTAGCAGGTAATTTAGAGTTGTTTAATGGGAGTTAAGTTTTTTTTAAGGTTTATTAAGACATACCCCTTTACATGTTTAAAATTATACAGATGTCTGCACGGTGGAGTTGTAAACAGTGATTAATTTGCTGGCTTGTAGTAGAACATTTGTTCTCCTAATTACAAATATCTATGTAATTATTTGTACACAATACCATGTATTATTCTGTAATGTACCTTGCACTTTATCTTTTGCTCAATAAACTATTGTTTGAGACAAAAAAGAATGACTACCTTGCCTAATCCTGCAAAGCATAGCATAAGAACACTGACAAGGCATACAAATGGAGAATCCAAGGGAGTAAATCTGACCATGGTTTCCTCAGATAATAGAATTTGCGGGGGTGTTTAAATTAGCTGACATTTACTGAATGCCAAAAAACGTTTTCATGTCCTGTGTGTGCAGAGCAATCAAAACATCACTACATCTTACCTGTACACCAGAGAGTCATCTAAAGAGCTGTTGTACTGAATCTGATACATGCGAATCCCAGGAATATGTCGTTCTGATGGCCACTGGATGACAACTGAGGTGGACTTCAGCTTGTCCACCACTATTCTCCTGTCCTGTAGGCTTTTGGTGTCATTGAAGCCTGATTTTGTGGAGGTTGTGATGTCAGAGGAGCCAGGGTCAGGTTCTTTTATGTGAGCCGTGTTATTAACTAACAAAGGAAGTGGTACTATTGCCAATTCTACTGGGGCAGTAGCCTCCCCAGCTGCATTTGATGCTATACAGGTGAAGGAACCACTGTCCTTCAATGTGGTTATCACAATGTCAAGTGTTCCATTGTCATGAGCCACCATTCTAGATGTATTGTGGATGAGCTTCCCATCTGGGCCAATCCAATGGACTGAAGGTTCAGGGTCTCCTACTGCCTTGCACTTGAGGTTTACAGATTGTCCTTCCACTACAAATGTTTTGCTGGCATAGTGTCGGGTGATAAGAGGAGGGTCACAGATAAACTCCTCCTCTTGAATTGACCAAAAATACTTGTCCGTTAGCTGTTCTGGAGAAGCACAAGTCTCCAGGTCATCCTCTCTTGTTAGTCGTCTCAGCCACAAGAGCTCACAGTTACAGTGTAAAGGGTTTCCACCAAAACTAATGGCCAAGGAGGAACTGGAGCCTCTTGTACTGGCCATCACTTGAGACCTGAGGAATAGGTTGTCTGGAGGCAGTTTGTGCAGCTGATTAGAGGTCATGTCCAATCTTACCAGCTTATGCAACATAGTAAATGTTCCTTCCGCAATGTGGTCTATGAGGTTGTGATCCAGAGTTAATGTATTTAGATTGACCATTTGCCCTATGTCGTCCCAGGGCAGCTCTATAAGGTTGTTATAGGACAAGTCAAGGTCTTCCACAGTGGGAAGGAACTCATGGAAGGCTCCATTCTGGATAGAACTAATCTGATTGTTGCCCAAAATCAGATGGCGCAAATTTCCCAAGCCACGGAAATGCTCGTGTCTCAGAATTGAAAGTCGGTTACTGTTCATGTGCAAGGCTCTCAAAGAACGCAAGTCAGAGAATGCCAGGGGTACAATTTGGCTAATAGTATTTCGTGAGAGTGTCAAATGAACCAAGTTGGTCATGTTGACAAAGTCTTTGCGTCGTATGATGGTGATAAAATTGTCTGTCAGCCGTAGCTCCACTGTCCGACGGTCAATGGCTGGTGGGACAAATAGAAGTCCTGTCTTGGCACACAGCATAGTTAGAGTTGGAGAGTTACTCTGGCAGATGCAGCGGCCGGGGCAATGTTGTGCTCTCCCAAAGTACCCCAGAGCTCCCATCAGCAGCAGGCATAGCAGCTTCTCCATGGCCCCTTGGCCAAAAGAGTCTGAAAAAAACAGAAAAATAAAGAAAGTTTAGTATAGCAATTTGATGAAGATAATATATTGTACACTGTAAAAAGAAAAGGAAAGTATACAATGTACTTATGTTTTTATTATAAAGGGTTAAGAGTTTCTGGAAGGTTGATATGCCTTCCTGTCAGCAGCTCTCCACCATTCACAGAACCCCTCTTACTATGAGCCCACAAAAGCAGCTGCGGTGAGATACTCAATTGCCTACATTGGTCTACATTTATTCTGTTTGCCAGTGTCCAATCCTTCTGTACACAGCAGTATATTCCGAAGGTTTATGACCAGTGTCCCACAATGGAGGATAAAGGAAGTACAGCTATAATGCTTACCACTATCACCTCTGTAGCCCCACTGCACACTGTGATTCCATACCTCCTGCTGGCTGTTACCTTACTAGTGTGTCTCTTCAGAGCTGCAGGGACACATTAGTGACATAGGGGTCAGGGAAAGAAGTCACAATGGGCAGCAAAGATGTGCAGGAATCTGGCACACCTGAAAGTATTGGATGCTGAAGTTTATATAATCACTGCAATCACTGATCTGCAAAAGAGCTAAAATTGGTTTCAGTAGTGGCAGTAATGGTAAAATATTACTGTACTTTCCTATCCTGACTCTGTTTCCTTTTTTATTTTACTATCGAAAGTGTCTCTTTCAATATGACAATTTCCAAAATACCCTAAAACCTTTATAAGTGCTGAGATCACGAGTCTACCCTTCTCCCAGCCACTTTCACAACACTAAATGTATTACTATAGTACAGGTATCCTATCAGCATCAAAATGTGCACGGACATTCCATTTTGATGTTACAAATAACCATATCTTTTTTTTTTTTACTATCTTACCATGGATGAAGTGGTCATAAAATGGTCTATCCTACCTCGGCTTTAATATTCTGTTCAGTTAATTTAAAAAGGTAGCAACCCACAGGAAACCAATATCAACCAATCCCCTGCTCTATTAGACTGTGAAAACACAGTTTCTGAGTGAAGCCATATAGGTATACAATGTATACGAAAAAACGAACATCCCTAATCTGTCAGCCCGCTGGATGGGCGGTAATACTGTATGTACGGTAGCTTCGGCTACATACAGTAGCTGAGCCAATCACGGCGAGCGATGTACACGACCTCTGCCAATCCAAGCAAGCTTTGTATTCATTAATAGAATACATTGCTCGCCGTGATTGGCTCAGCGCGGTATACTGTATGTAGCTGAAGCTACCATACATATAGTATTACCGCACATCCATCCATGATGTTTTTAAATGGTGTTGCCTCGGAAGGGGGGTAGTCTTATATGACGAGTATAGCCCAAAACCTATGTTTTAAGTGGAAAATTAGGGGGTCGTCTTATACACCCAGTCACCTTATATGCCGGCAAATACAGTATATATATAACAAACATTTGTTTTAATTATTATTATTGATTCTATTATTATACATTTGTATCAAATCGAAACTTCACCGTTTTGTTTAAATAACAATAAACTACAAAGCTCACTTAGGGTTCTCTTTAAATAATTCCCCTCCCTCTTCTTTGTTCTCATATTTCTAGTGTAAGTGAAAATATTGGTAATCCAAGATGACTGTCCTCTTGCTACGTTCAAGCATATTGGCAGATATTGATTAGCGAGGCAGTGATAAAACATATCACCTATCATGCTTGGGTTTACCGGCCGAGGACAACGCCGTCTCACTGTGTTAGTATTCCATGAGCCGACCCCAGCCTTAGAGGAAGACTGATTAGAGAACTAATAAGACTCATTACACATATAGATTATTTACAGTAATTCAGTAATCGCCAATCATAAGTGATGAGTATGATCATATATATGAATCAGCAAACGGCTTGAGGAACTTTATCTTACAGGATAACTAAAGTGAATTTTCAGTAAGCACATATTGGGAGTAATTTTTACAGTAAAAGTAATTTTCGGCATTTTTGCATTCTTGCATTTGTATATATTTTTATTTTTTTACATTTTCAGACTAGCCATACAGACAGGGCAGTTTACCTGCTACAATGACTGCCTAACAGTGTTGAGATAAGCTATCGACCACACAGGGATTGCATTGTTTTCAATCACTTGATTGACTTGCATTGTAAAGCACAACTATTGGGAAGAAGCAGTTGTGTATGCAATAGGAAAATATGGCAGCCCCTACGTACAAATATATTGTGCTGAGATAATATTTATTTTTAAACATTGGTAAAATAGGCTTTTTCCATCCAATATTCACTGTATATATTTATTTTGGGTACTGCATGTCAAGTCTGTTTCAATTGCAGATGCCCAGAATGCTTATGTGCTCCAATATACCAGCCCTTTCTGAGTCAAGCACTACCACTTCCAAGCTTTACTAGAGAGAACGAAGGCTGCCTATCAACCAATAGAAAGGATTACAGGGGCTGGGGCCAGGCTCTTTACTCATCAACCCAATAAATGTCTGCATATTAAAGCACAAGGCATTCTCGATATCCAGGGGCCTTGAAATGAAAATGGAGTTGTGGCACCCGAAGGTACCTTGTATATGCTGGCAGCACTGCATTAGGTTAATATTTTAGACTCAGCTGTCAGAAGGTTTTAGAAGTAAATTACCAGGCCCTAGTCACACTGGGGTCGGGAACCATTGGACTAAATATTCCTTGATTACATTGTTATACAAGGCAACAGCAAGCATGCCCTGGGAGGGAGCCTTCTTGCATAACAGCTAGGAAGAGTTGAGTGGTCCTTAACAGCCTGACAAGAAATATTGTATATTACAGGTTACATCACGTAGAGAGAGTTTTGTATTCAGTAAATTATTATATTGTCAAGATAACTCATAATGTGCCCATATAAGTATAGAGCGTAGACAGAAGGAGTTCATTTTAGACTTTTTCTTCCATTCTTCCATGCGTGAAATGCTTGCACTTTTAAGGGCTGGATACTTAACAACCATGATGGAAGATTTATTTGTTCCAGGGAGTCATCAATAAATGTATTTGGTCCTCAAGGGATCATCCCTGCTGTCTCCCTAACAGTATGACTAATCAGAACCTGAATAGACTGCTCTAATCTGTCAGATTTGGTCTTCATCTGCCAAAGATGCCTGCCCACAAGAAAACACCTTGGGAGAGTGATTTGCACAGGTAACTGTAGTGCTGCACAGCAAATGTACTCTACTGCTCTGAGTAGTAAAGCAGCTGTGCAGCATGAAAGTTGGACACCAGGCACAACGCACAGAATAAATACGTATTCTGTAAGTGAGCCGTTTTACCTGCCAGAGATTTAGTGGGTTATTCACTTTGGACCGTAGCTTTGGCTGATCCTTCGGCTCTCTTTGGCTGCCTCGAACCGATGGGCTGCTGTATGGGCTATTCACAATTGTTTTTTTTTTCTTTTCTTTAAAAAATCTTTATTTCTTTTTTTAAATTTTCCTATTTTTTATTATTCTTAAAATAATTTTCAACTTAAAAAAATAATTTTCACTTCTTTTCTATTCTGCTCGGTACCTTGGAGGTACCGGCAGAATAGCCGAGCCGAATGCATCCGGCTATCCACTCACTGCCGTTTGGCCCCAAAGAGAATAGGGGTGAATGGCAGCAAGTCGAAGTCCTTCTGCACTTCGGCTCAGCCAAGCATGCAGAGCATGTTTGGTTGACCGAAGGTAGACAAAGGCAGCAGATGTACAGCTGATATTAGCCGGTGTACGGCTGAAATCAGCCGTACAAGACTGAAGTGAGTAGCCGAACAGCGTTCACTTTGGCTGGGTCATTCACATGGCTGCCTTTGGCAGCTTTGCGAATAACCCCCTTTTTTTGATTTACACAGCCCTGCCACACAACACAACCCTGCTTAGCAGGGAAGAAGACCTGATCTTTCATTGCTACAGTTAAAGTACATTTACAGGTCCTGTCCCTCACCCAGCCCATGACTGGACAGTAAATGTAGAACCATGTTCCTTGTTAACATATGTGTACTGCAGTCCAACTGACTGGCCCCTTTTGCTTCTTCTCCTTTTCCCACTCTGAGTACTATTGCAAGAGGTTGATACCAAGTAAAATGCAGGTACTCACATGTTGTAGTATTTACAAAAAAAATAATACATGGAATGGTTAGTTATTGAATACAGAGCTGCATTCATTATGTCTTTTTTATCTTCCTCGATCTGATTAATAAGTAGGAAGCAGAGCCTGAATATTACATAATCAAATTTGGCAGATCTCCACGTACAGATATAATTACAAGCTATACACACTTTTATTAAAACATGGGCATTCGTTGATAACATATATAGATCCACTTTAAGATGTTTATGAATCTGATTTGTTTTTCCCTTACAGAACTCTAAAGTTTCAAAATGAATAGAAACTAATTGCATCATGGCCATATGGGTGTAGTAGGTGATGGAGTAGGTGGAATGTTTTTTTCAGTCTTGTTCTGTTGGTATGTGTTGTAAATTGTTTCCATCAGCCTCCCCTCCCTGCCTCCTCTTCTCTCTGTGTTCACTGTTCATGTATAGATCTCTTAGGTTACCATTGAACGGGAAATGTATTCCGTAGGGGTAGGAAGAAGCTTTTTACTGTCTGAAAATCAATGAGATTAGACTGCTGAGGTTAAAAGCAGATCAGCACTGTAGATGGAAAGAAAACTTGTCTAGTCTTTGCTTGGATATACTATGGTGCGACCCCTTATGGCCGTAGCTGGAATGCCAAAATGCTTCCTCATAGTCATTCTCCCTGCCATAATGACATATCCACATTCTAATGGCTGATACAGTCACACATTTTGGCAATTTGTTTTTCTTCACAGGTCCCTGTGCAAGAGGGATGCCGCTGATGCAAGAGGGATCCACCTGCTGAACGTCTACATGCATCTGAGATTCCAGCTCCACCAACCTCTCACAGTCATTTCTCTTCATAACATTTTTATTAAGCTGACGAAGTAGCCAAATTGTGATCAATTTGAACATATACGTTGTGAGGTATTA